GGAGATGCCGGACCGGGAGACGTCGAAAGCGCTGTCAGAGCTTAGTAAACCTCGAAGGGAATTATCCAGCTTCTGGTTCACTGCTTTGTGCTTCACGGGCGCTCTACAAAGACCGAAAATAGTTCCGCTCTGATGCTAAAAGTTGTCGTTATCAGCTGCTTCCAGTAGGAATGAGCGCGATTTTACCGGAGCGTTAACGCACAGCCCCCCGCCGCAGGTTCGGTGCGGGTCTGCGGGCGGATTAATTCAGCCGGCACAGCGTGATTAGCTCCGGGAGCCGAGGGAACCGTGCCAAGATAGACACTCGGCCGCACGGAGAGAGATCTTTACATCAAAACGCCTTTAGTTCCAGTGGGGCTTTAAAAAGTAATCCAAGAGCAGCGCAGGCAGAACCTGGCGCTCGGCGCCACGAAAACCCTGTTTTTCCCTTCCCAGCCCGCGCAGATCGACGTGGGCTGAGTTTGAAGAGGCAGGAGGTAAAACCCGTGCCCGGCTGGTATGTGAGAACGCACCATTTGCTGGTTTTTCAGGAATAATTCGGGGTCAAGTAAAGAACAGCAAATGTTTTCGAGGCAGGCAACCAAAACCAACCACGGCGGTTTCTCGGGAATTTTTTTTTTTTTTTTTTTTGTTATTTTAGTACTCTGCTGTTCTGTTCACTAAAATCTTTTGTACACCCAGAGAGACTTCCAACGAGAGCAAGATGTTTGTCCTTTAACACCACATTATCAACAGAGGTCATGTGCTGTTTTTCAATGAATTATCCCTTTTATTTGTTTATTTCTTTGATCAGCTATAAATGAAAGTTATTCGTGTATATAAAACTGAAGTTTTTACTGTTGAAATTGAACTGTACATGTTTACTACAGGAAAAAATATCAACTCTTGTTTAACAAGACATTATACATCAATAAGCAATAACCTTGTGGAGGATTTGCAATCACCTGGTCTATAAAAACAAGCAGGACAAATAACAGCAATTTATATGCAAAAGTAATGATTTAATGACTATAAGCAAGACAAAGCAATAGAATTGTGCTTCTTTTGCAGACTGGAGACAATGAAATGTTTAACTACAGTTTTCCCGTACAAACATGAAACAATATCCATATAGAATAAACACCCTCACAAATGTATAACTGATGGGTGATGAACACACACGAAGTTCGACCAAAGCAAAGCACAAACTGAAAAGTGTTCTGGGCTGTTCATACTTTATGGTGGAAAAGTTCCTTCCACTTGAAAAAAAAATAATACCCTTAGAAGCCTCTAATGAAATGCACCTATTTGCAGGCCATTAAAGAGGAGGCATTCTCCACAATTTATTGGAAATATTAAAGTACCTGTTAAATTTTAATGAAGTTAGTACTGTACCATATACATATACATTAAAACAAATTTAGATAAAATGCATTCATCCAGCGACTTGCTGGTTCCTTAAAGTTTATACCAAATAGTTTATGGCTTTTTTAATGATTTCGTGTGCTTTTAAAAACACAGTCCCACCACACCGAAGAATAAAAAGGTAATCAAACAGGTCAAAGACTTCCACGTCCCTTAACTTTTTTTTTTTTTTTTCTTTTCCTTCACTGCATCACTTCAACATTTGGGATATCAGAGACTCGAATGTGCTTTCCCAATACTGTAGCTCTCACACGCAAAGTGTTTCCTGCAGTATGAGCAAAGCTCAAACAGGCGGCATCTGCGAGGGTCGAACCAGTTTAGAAATTTAACAACCATATCATGAGTGCATGAAACACAATATTTTCTTTATAGTATTTATAAATATATCATACAATACTGTTTCCTGTTATGTCATATACCAATATGGCATTGTACAATAAGCATAATGCCATCTGATTCTTACAAAAGCGAATCATTTAAACAAGTCAGTAAATAAAACGGTAATACCCGCTTTTAGGCATACAGATTGTAAAACTGAAGTTTACTTTTCTTTTGATCGGTTCTGCGCAGCAACAGAGAAGTAAAAGATGCAACATAAGAATCAAAATGGCTAATACGCAAAAATTGTTATTCACAGTGACATGGCTACATATATGCATTATTCTATGCATATTCTTTCCGTTCTGTTGGATTTCAAGATGAAAAAGCACTTGCTTTCTACAGGTTCACAAAACAGCATAAGAACAATAACAATCGAAGAGAACGCAATGGAGGAGTTAGTCTGGATTAACAAACTACTTCCCGGGATTTGTGTCCACTTCTGGAGACTCCCGAGTCCAGACGATGGGGACGGAAACAACTCCACATCACTCAGAACAGGTGAAGGTGTAACTTTTGTTTGCCTCCCAGTCCTCTGAAAACAATTTACATTTCAATCTTGCATTTCCATTAACGTCCGTCCTGAATGTCCCGTAGTCCGCCTTTTATAGCCAAGTTCAGTGTCACTACAAAAGAAAGCAATTTGGACGATAGTCACATGGATTAGCATCTATAAAGCTGTAATGGCATGGAGAGATCTATATAAAGGAGGGGCAGGTGGGGGGCGGTCGCCTGGTTGGCAGTCAACCAGATGAAGTGGCCGAGGAGCCATTTATTGACGTTTTCCGTGCTCTGTTGGTAAAGGAGGACTGGTGGTTACTGCTGGGGCTGCTGCTGGTGCCGTTCATGGTGCTGGAGATGTGGGGGAACTGGGGGTGCGGCGACTGGACCGGTGTGCTGGGGCTGGGCAAACAGGAGGAGGTGGAGGGGATGCCTCCCGCTGGGCTGCTCGCCTTGTCGCTCCCAGAGTCACTTTCCAGCTCCCCGCTGTTGTTCAAGCCTTCCCTCTGGTGACCGATCTTCATCCTCTTGCAAGTAGGTCGCACCCGGTACTTGAGGGGGAGAGGCCCGTTCTGCAAGGCGAAGGGGAGACCCCAGTCAGCGCCGTCCCCAGGCCACGACCCGCTCCCCACGGGAGGCGGCCGGACAGATGGCCGCCCGTACTCACCCGCCTCCAGGTGTAGATGTAGGCAATGTCCATGAGGGTGTAGTAGTCCTTCAGAGGCTCCTCTTCATACATCACGTCGATCTGCTCAATACAGGAATCCCCGCGTTAAGGAGCATCCAGGCATTTACCCCACAGCATACGTTTGAGGCGAAAGCAGCCCCATGGCCGTATTTATGTATCAGAAAAACAAAAACAAAAAAAAAGTATACAAAAACCAGCAGGGAATAAGGAATTTTCATATCTGTTAGCGATGTTTTAAACACATTACGAAGCGATTTCTTGACACCTCGGTATTTACAGCATCAAAAAAATTACAGACTGTCACCAAACTCTCTGGACAGCTATTTTAAAAACAATGCCCATAATCCCATCAATTTATCACACACACCAGAAATGCTTGGTAGTTAGCACTGGCTGGAACGAGAAAATGAGGGCTAACCAGCATCATTAGCAGGCTCAGAACAACAAGACTGATTTAAAAAAAAAAAACGAAAAAAACCCCCCAAACTCTTTGAACTTTCTTAGATGCATCACTGTCATTGCTGCCGGGCAGCGTAAGTATCTTTTGTCATTCACCTAGTGGCACAGAGAAGAAAATCGGCCTACTGAGAACAAGCAATTACTCCCACCAAAGCTGCACTCTAACATTCTGTGTTAATTTTTTAAAAGACGCAAACTATTAAATTATGAATTATAATACAACAATTTCTGCTGCCTTATAAGGAACAACTGAAACAAGTGGTAAATTGCAGTTCCAGAAGAAGTAATTAAAAATGCAACTGATTTTGTACATAAAGATTTTTATCTCACAGTAAATCTCTTTTCAGTATACGTATGTACAATATATTTGATTTTAAAATTAATTAATAAACAATTTATTGCAGGTATTTTTTATTTTAAGAGGCTGCATGAAGATGCCTGACCTCTTCCCTACCTAGCACCCTGAGAGGAGGTGTGCTGCTTCTGTTCTAGACACACACACCCATGCATTTTTTTCAACTACAAACCCGCCCCAAAGATGTTTGCGTGTGTGTTACTTTTCCTCTGGATTAAGCAAAAGTTATGTACCTCTTCCTTTGATTTTTCTTTCTCCTTATTTCCTTTTCGTTCCAGTCTGTGAGAAGAAATGAAACAATTATAATAAATAATCAGTTTAGCTGCTACCAGTCAGGTAAATATAAAATATTGCCGTTCCGGAACTTGCCTATTCTGGTCAAAGAATTCAATGGATAAGCTTATTATCTCGTCGTCTGTTATAATTCTTTTGTCTTCCCCAGCCACTTCTCCCCTGTCTTCATTAGAGCCATTGGCAGCTGCGCAGAAATTTCCACAATAATTTACATTTTGAAATTCAAATCAGGAAGAATGGCAATTGTCAGTAACAAGAAAAAAAAAAAAGTCTCCATAGTAAGATTACGAATTAAAGCTACCTAACTGTTACAACAATAAACTTCTATTATGCTGAATTTACTTCTTAAAATTTTGTCATGGTAATACATAATTTGTAAGTTAAAAAGGAAAGAGCAAATCATCTAGGTCAAAGCTACATTGTAAAAGTTGTGAACGAGAAGCTTTTACCATCAGCCGACGGATGAGCAGCATAAAAATCCCGTCTTCTTTTCATTTCATCTAGATAGAAAAGCATACATTTTTGTTTTAGTATATACTCTGTAACTCCTGGTATCGATACAGGACGGCGGTTCTGGTTTGGTTTTTCTACTCTCCAGAAAAAAACAAACCAACAACCCAATTGAACTACTTACTTTTGAAAAGGCCTGGTACTAGCTTGTATACAATATCTTGGAGAGTTTTGTCAGACCTGAAAAAAGAACAATCCCAGAACATAAAATTAAGCAGATGAAGTGGTATTTTAACCCAAGCGGCAGCTCCTCACGTGTAACCTTTCCCGACAGCGAGGCACCCTCTGCAAAGCGGGAGGCTGCTCACAAAAAGTGAACACGCAGGACCTTGAAACCAAACTAACGCTGCTCTAAATACCCCTGCAAGCCAAAACTCCTCTGCGCTACCGCAGCTGAAAAGTGATTCTCTCAGACTGAAGGAAGGCCTTTAAACACCACACATCCTCCCTAGAAAATCGAGGGAGCAAAGAGTAGCAGGCAAGGAAAACGTTTCTGACAGGAGAAGCATGCTTCGAAGGCTTTTGCCTCTGAGCCTGGGCAGTTTCAGCACGAGTTCTGTCGCCGAGGGGCTACGGCTGGAGCGAAGCGGGTCTGGGAGGCGCAGCCAGCGGGGGCAGAAGCCGCCCGGGG